GTAGTAGTCGTAGTGGTAGTCGTAGTGGTAGTCGTAGTGGTAGTGGCAGTGGCAGTGGCAGTGGTAGTGGTAGTGGTAGCGGTAGTGGTAGCGGTAGTGGTAGCGGTAGTGGCACTGGCAGTGGCAGCAGCAGCAGCAGCAGCAGTCGGTAGTAATGAATGGGCCATGGCCCTATGTGGTGGACTCCATCAATGAATCTCGTTTCCTGTCTCGCTTCGACCCGAACCAGCACGACTATATATTACAGCCAGAATGACACCAACTCTACCTCATGCCGTAGGCAAGACTTTCTTACTACAAACTACAACCATTCCCGCGTACATCGTCAAACAAAAGCCGCGAGGTTGCAGCAAGCAGCCGAGAAGCTACGGTTCATCTGACTGTCATGCAACACAAACTCCACTAAGGATTGAGGGCTCGCAAAGTGCGGCTTCGTGGGTAAGCTTTCGGCTTCCATGCTTGATCTCGGTTTAACCCGTGCATCTAATCTCGTTCCATCTCGTTCCCCTACAGTAGTGGAGTGAATTTCGACCGCGAAAATACTGCCCGAAATACTGCCACCTGTAGACGACTGTAGATTTGCAGGAAAGCCGTCGCTCCTTTGCAAATCAATCCTTTCTAAACCCCCTGTTTGCAGGACCCCGCCTTCGACCGTCCCAGACCCTTGAAGGCGAATTGCTTTTCGGGCAGCTTGCCTGGAAGCTGGCCAGGTTTTGGGGTGCGGAGCGATCAAGACAATTCAGGCTCACGAAGTGCTTTTTGTTTAGACTCATTGATGGAACCGCCATTACAACATGATCGTTGTGTTTTTCGCATCTGTTGTATCAGCGGGACCATAAGCTCGAACAACTGTCACATGTGGTTTGGGCTGCGGAGTGAGTGACAGCTTTGGTGCGACATACCCTGCGAAAGACCAAGGACTCCGCGCATGCTTTGGCTCAGGCTGGGTCTACGTCAACTGCACGGCCGGAACTCTTACTTGTAGAACGCTCGAGTGCGACGAAATTTGGGGCTCTGAAAATTTCCAGGTGATGGCTGAGGGCTCAAAGATTCAATGGTCCAGGCACACTGCGCCAACCTTCCAGTCCACGGGCGGCAACAAGATTCGACAGATGATGATGCTGTCATTGCGATTGGCAGTGCTGGCTAGAACAGTGACGTATGCAGTGGCACCAGCACTGGTGTTGGTGCTGCTGCCGCGAGTGCTGGCACTCGAGCCCAAGTAGACCGTGTGCCTGGAGAATTGTCTGCGGCAGGGTGTTAATTATGGAACAGAACCACTCCCCTTCGCACTCCAACATCTTCTTCGTACTAGGCCTACCCTGCACCTGGCAGAATACTTTGGCACAAATCTCTCCAGGGCTTCGGAGACTTGCGTCGCCAGAGTAGGAGTCTCTTTGTAACACATGTTGAATGTTCACGTAGTTTTTGCGACTGAAGCAGCAGAAGATACTGCTTCACAAACCGTGGGCCAAGAGTGCTCGCAACCTCGAGTGAAGCTAAATCAGGGCATTAAACCCAAAGACCACAACTCTACAGACGCTGACACCGCACACGCAGCACACGTTGCGTGCAACGGGAGCCTCGACCGAAATTTTGCTCTTGCAGCAGAGATGCTAGCATCCAATGTCCAAACCTAGCCAGGACTCAGGGCTGAGGGTTTCCCGTTGAATGCACAGCGAAATCTTCGACTTCTCGGCTACAACTGATTGCCCCTGCGCCGGTCCGTTTGGAAAAATGTTGAAACATGTCGAAAGAGTGCTGCTTCCGTCGTAATTCAATATGAAGGATTGAAGCATAAGGTCCTAATTACTGGGATGATTGCCCCGCAGAGGAACAAGTACGTACAGCTTCGCTGTGGATTGGAGAGCTTCGGGTAGTTGGTGGGGGAACGGCCGTACGGGCGCAACTAGTAGGTGTGATTGATTCACCTTCAGACCTCGAGCTCGTACCGGACAGGGCACAACTGCTCCTGCGGTTGATGTTCAAACTTCTCCCATTTGGCAAGCCTCAATCCACGGCGTTTGAGGTCCATGTTCTGTGGCAACAGTCGGTTCTTGCAACCCAACGCCAATATCCGATGCCTGTGTACCTAGTTTTCGCATATTGACCGGTACGCTTGCTGCTTCCCTTTCGACCGCCATGCATGCATGTCGTCTATGTTTGACCGCAGTCAACTCAGAACCACAATCCCAAAGGATGGTCCAGCTTTGTGCAAGTTGGCAGGGTTGCACACAAACCAACTAAAGCAATTGTAGGTATGGCTAATGCCATGCAACATCTTTGTTGCGTTCTACTTTCAGGGACTACAAGTATGCAGACACTCCTTGATGTCATTACACCATGTCAACATTTCCACAAGTTCTGACACACCCCTTTACTATTAAAGCAGTGATGATGCACTTTGAAACAATGCATAAACAGTGCAGGGCCGAAAGGGCACGCACTGAATTGAAAGAAAAACAATCGCCTTCGGGCCTGTTTCAGGGTACCGAAAAGACAACAAAGACAGCACACGTTCGGAATACCCCTGATACACGAGCTCCAGACTGATGCAGATGCAAAGTTCTGTGCCAGCTTGTCGGCGATGGCCTTTGGTTTGTGACACCAGGACCGTTCGAAATTAGGGTTCCGGATCCCTTTGAAGGTACCCCAGGCCCCTGGACAGGGGCAATAATCCAGAACTGCTGCCACATGCATTTCAAACGCTCCTCCGTGAATCAGTGTGTCAGGGTTTAGTGCTTCAGGACTCAGGGTACCGCCCGCGACGGCTCACCGGCTCACCATCCACGTGCCGTTACATCAAAAAGATCAGGGTCTTAAGGTGCATGCATTGCATACTGAAGGGTAGAAAATCCTGACTACTCACCGAAATAATACACCAAGTGGACGAATTTCGCTTTCAATGGAGCACAGAAATAAAGAAGTCATACGATTCGGCAAAGCTCATTCTCACGTTGCTGTTATGTTATTACAGGTCTGAACGTGAGGGCTCCCTCAATTTTCCCATCCAAAGCAAGCCCGCTCCTCGAGCCTTGAGCCTGTAATGATTATCCAGCCTTGACGGGAGTCATCTCGGTACTTCCGGAGGGAGTTGCGTGGTACAGGCCGACGATCTCCATATCACCGGCCTCGAAAGTCTGGCTTCTCTGATGCAAGGCTGTATGTATTTGTATGAAGGTTTGTAAAGCTTAAGACCTAATTAATGGTGGCCAGCTTCGCGCTTTAAAGTTTACAGCGCAGTGACGAACTTCATGGCTCGACCGCGATTGAAAAAAATCCACCACGGCAAGCATGTCATCACAAAGCGCCAGAAAGTCTAGGTTTTCTCGTGTTCGGCTTCGGGACCTGCAGCGAAGTCGGTGAATTGGTTGAGAGAAACTTGAACATAAACAGTAAGTGGCTGTGGCATACAGGAGCTTCCACAGTCAGGGCACTCCCATGCATAGATCCGCCAAGCAAAAAAACCAGAAAACGACGTCAACCGGGCCCGCATTTGTTTTGAATATAGCAGCCATATCCTGGTGCTTCATAGCCGTTGCAGAGCATCGCGCTCTGGTGGCATGTACATTAATACCCGCCCCGCCCGCCGCAGCATGAAAACCGATCTTCCCCGATTTGTGCTTTAGTATTGGGGGGGGGGGGGTCCGTAGTAGCATTTTCACCTACACTTGGGTATATTGTAAACCCTTCCCTAGGCAGGTCGCAGACCGTACAGCGCTTCGTTCCGGCGGATGCTGCAACATGCACTTGCCGGGTCGTGCAGGTTGCAGTGCTTGCAGTCAAGTCATCTCATACCTTCTAGAATGCACTCGCTCTTGCAGTCGTCAGGTTTCGGATGCTGGTATATTCCCGAAGCTTAGCTCTGATGAGGAAATTGATTAATTCGATTCACACGTTCTCGTACACTCGCTTTTGCAACCGTAGGTTTCGGGTGATGGACGGATCCTTGAACATAAACTCTGCGAAACTGAGAGAGACAGAGAGACAGACAGAGAGAGAGAAAGAGAGAAAACAAGAGAGAGGGGGGGAGAGCTCCGACA